CCTCTGAAGCTTTAATCATCATCAATTTATAGCAAGAGGATTGTTTACCGTTGTAGATTTGAGTGAGTAGAGAGTGCCGTTGCTATTGATTGAGGCGAAACTGACGGAGGAGCGTTGAAGAAGCTGGGCGCTGGTTTATCGCGAAGAAGAAGAAGTCGTAGACTTCAATTCTCACTTTTTCTTGCGTGAAGACAAAGTGAGATGCTTGGTGGGCTGATTCTCTATTATGTTTGTTCTGGGCTTTGGCCCAAAATCAATCTCTTCATTTCAAACTTGAACTTCAATTCGGCCTTTTGCTGCAATTTTCTCCAAAAATAAGATATCTGATAATTTGGGTTAGGAAAAATAAAATAAAAATAATATAATGTAAAAATGATTAAAAAGATAATATTTTTGAAAGAAAATAAAAAGAATTTAAAAATAAGAATTAAAATAAAACTAAGCTAAACAACTAAAAATTAAACTCTAAAAATATTAAAAATGCCTAAAAAAGAATAAAAAGAACTAACCCAAAAATGACTTATCAAAGCTGCTTTACAAAGTAAAGAGAGATGACATGAAACTGACTTAGCTTTAGCTTTTTGGTTTTATAATGCATGCATACCCTTTAATGCGGTAAATTCTCCATTCTATCAAGTTGCTATTGATAAGATTGCCTCTATGGAATTTGGATATAAATGACCCTCATATCATGCTTTGAGAGTGCCTTTGTTACGTGGTGCTAAACTTCAAGTAGGATTGATTGTAGACTCTTATCAAAGCAAATGGAGTGACACAGGTTGCACAATTATGGGTGATGGTTGGTCTGATACAAGCAATAGATCATTGATAAAAATTTTGGTGTATTGTCCAACAGGAATAGCATTTATAAAATGTATTGATGCTTCTAGTTTTGCTACTGATGCTCCTAACCTGTGTAAGTTATTTGCTGAGATTGTTGACATGGTTGGACCCTCAAATGTTGTTCATATGGTGACTGATAATGCTTCTAACTACAAGGCGGCTCGGAGATTACTTACTGAGAGGTATCCCAATGTTAGTTGGTCTCCTTGTAGTGCTCATTGTGTTAATTTAATTTTGAGTGATGTTGGGAGCCTTGAACACGTACAATCAATTATACAACTTGCTCAAAAAGTAACTGTATTTGTATACAATCATAAGCGGGCTTTAAACTGGTTGAGAAAGAGACCAAATTGGAGGGAAATCATTAGGCCAGCAAGCACAAGATTTGGGACAGCTTTCATTGCTCTGAAAAGTCTCCATGATCATAAACTTGATTTGCAATGTTTTGTGGTTAGTGGAGATTTTAAGAGGTTCTTAAAAACTACAAAGGGGAAAGAGTTTAGACAAATTGTTCTCAATGAAAGATTTTGGAATAATTGTTTGGTGCTTGTGAAAATTATGGGCCCTCTCATCCGATTGTTGTGTGTATGTGATTGTGATGAAAAACCAGCAATGGGGTATATTTATGAAGGTATTCTGAGGGTGGAGAGCGGCATAAAAGATATGTTCAAAAATCAGAAAAAAGCTTATGAGCCTTACATGAACATCATTGAGAATAGGTGGGATAAGACATTGAGCAAAAATATGTTAGTAGGTTTAGTCGTTGTGCCCACGCCTTAGAGGGGGGATGAATAAGGCGTTTAAAATCTTTTCGGAGTTTGATAAAAACGGTGTTGGCAAATGCGGAAGCAATATATAAAACGCAGAAATAAAAGCGTAAAGTAAAATGCACACCGAATTTATACTGGTTCGGGAAACCCCTACTCCAGTACCTCGAGGCTCCTCCTCAAGGATTTCTGAATCCACTAAGTCCCGGCCTCTTGAACTCCGTCAAAGCACCGCACTAGTTTTGGCAAACAACCCTTGCCAATAGGATTCACTCCGAGATTTCACAACGGCTATCTCAAACCGTTTACAATGAAGATTTAACGGCTATCTTCTACCGTTCCCCCAAGGATTTCAAAGGCTATCCTTGAACCTTTACCCAAGGATTTCTACGGCTATCCTTAACCGTTACAACGTGAGAATTTAACAGCTATTCTAGATCGTAAGAAGGTGTGTTTTGAAGAACACAAAAGTAGATTCTACACAACGGCTAGAATATTAAAATGAAGAACAAAACTTAGCCGGTGTAGAAGGAAAATATACTCTCTCAAAAATACCATCCAAACTTATGAATATAAGAGTATATATAACTAGAAACACAAGCTCAAAGTGTGTGTATAGAAATCAGGAATTTAGGGCTCTTAAAATAGCCAAAATATTTAAAATAATTAATAAAAGAATGACCACACTTAGAATATAAAGAGAGGATGTTTAGAGCTTTAATTTGTTTCTTGAAGAAATATGAAGGAATAGGCTTGTATTTATAGTGGAAAATGTTAATTAGCCGTTGGGAGGTGATTAGGGGTGATTTGAATTTAAATTGGCAAATTGCTACAGTGATTACAACGGATCCGGTACCCTTCACGGTAGGGTCAGTACCGTCCGGTACCTAGGTACCATGACCCACGGTATGGCCTACCATTTGGGGGTACTGTGTAAGCCAAAAGATTGGTTCACCTCTGGCGGTACCTGGTTAGGACGGGGGTGGACAACCGTCTCTGCCTACCGTCCGTTACCTAGGTACCGTTACACGGTATGGGGGTACCGTGTAGGCGGTATACCCTACCGTTTGGGGTACCGCTAGGGGTACCGTGCCACTGTCCTGATTTTTCCAAAATTCCCTTAATCCTTCGTGTTTGAGTTTAAAACCTTTTAGATGTTTGAAAATGTTTATGGGATGGTTTTAAACATATTTTGTGAGTGCTTTTGAGCTTGTGAATATAGGTATATAAAGTCATATCCTTACATCGGTTTCTACCTATATTCTACGCTAGTTTAGTGTTTCGACTTCGTTCTTGAGTACCGAATCTTAATGGATTCTTGTTTTACCTGAAACACTTAAACAAACGTTAAGCTCTTATATTGTTTGTTAACATCAAAACATGAGGCTTAGCAAACCAAGCCTAACAAAATATTNTGTGTGTGTGTGTGTATAAAATTGTAAATTGAATTCTGAATTAAACATTAAATGAGTTTTTTAATAAGACATTGGAAAGCGGAATATACGTGCCTGGGAAGTGGGAAGTACTAAATTTACGTCAAGTCTGGGTCTCTAGCAAAGAGAAAGTTGCCAATTGGAAGAGGGGAAGGCGCCAATTGAACTGGTTCGCTGTACCGCCGGTGATTGGTATTCTATTATTCCTCACTTGGTGCGCCGTACCAAGAGGCTGGGGACGATTTCAGTTGGCTTTTGGTACGCCGTACCAGCTTGATCTGGTACACTGTACCGCGTCAAAGTGTACGCCGTACTGGCTACAGTCGGATCGCAATCAAATTGCGATTGGGTACGCTTCATACCAATACGGAAGTCGCGGCCTAGGGAGCAAAATCTATGACTATGACATGAGCTATAACAACCACCTGTCAGTTCACAAACTAAATGTGGCACTAACTGGCATCAATTGAACCCCATTAAGTTTTTTGTTAGTTTCCGAGCTACACACATAGATGTGGATGACTTCCTTCACCATGAAAATAGAGAAGACTTAACTGAAAAGATATACAAAGTACAAACTTTCGAATGTACTAGCTTAACAAAAGCATCAAATATGATTTAGCCCTTCTCATAGCATGAAATTAAGAATAGTGTAATATTTACCCTTCTAATTCTTCCAATCCAAAGCAAAGCAAAAATTGTGAACATCCCATCCTTCACAGACCCACCTTCCAAGTGTGTTATATTGGGTATGCTTGGTTTGGTTAACTCTTCTTCTCCAAAGCAACTTTACCCATGGGAGAACCACGGAAAGGTTAACAATCAATATAGTGAAAGAGCATAACAGTGATGAGCAGTGTGACACCTAAAGCAAATCAAACGCTAAATATTCTTCTTTCCTTATCTGTTTTTTTATTTGCATCTATAGTAAGTGTCATGGTTTCGTAAGTGTCATGGTTTCGTAAGGCGTATGATTGGTCCGCCTCGAGGATGCGGTCGGTTTAAGCCTATTCATGGTATTTTGAGGCTTACGAGTTACGCCCGAGGCGAATGAGGTGTATCTAGGCATATGAGGTGCAAGGCATAAACCTCAGAATTTTATCATGATTTTATGAAAGTTCTTATAAGATATTGAGTCTGGACATTTATTTTGGCTCTGTTTGGCATTAGCTTTAGCATTTAGATTCAACATTTTGGAAATGCTATCCAGCCATAGCTAGCTTTTAGAGTTAGCTTTTTCAGAGTTAATCGGCATCATTAAAAATTTATCCCAAACGCTAACATTAATCACAAATTTTGGTTCCAAACAAAGCAGTTATCTGCTCCGTTTCATCTAATATTCAGAAAACCTATTAGCCGATTAAAAAACACATCACCTTCTTTTTGTTTCTCACTCTCTGTCTTCTTCTTCACTCCAGTTCAACGACAACTTTAGTCGTCTTGGTCTACAGTCTGCAACCAGGTCTGATTGTCTATTTTCTTCATCTTTTTCTTTTAACACTTCGTTTTTCTAATCAGTGCATCCCCACCCCTACCCTTGCATCCTCCCTCCCTCTCTCACCCCTCCCTCTTTATTTAATATCTTCTTTAATTGGGAATTTAGTTGGTAGTCATTTATATTAGAGAATTATGCTATTAGTTTAATTACTTGTTTACTTTGGTACTTAGAGACAATAGTTTTGTGGTCGTTTAAAATTGTTGATTCTGTTTTTTAAATTTTTAAAAATTTGTTTTAAGTTTATATTAATATTTACCAATGCACTAAGAGTACTATGCTATTTCAAAAACGAAGAATGTGTTTATTGTATTATCTTATTTTAATTAAATTGAGGCTTATGCTTAGTCATGCCTCGAGGCTTATGCCTCATGTCAAAGTCTCACCGCCTTGAGGCCCGATTTTGCCTTTCAAAAGCTTGATATGACTTGCAAATAAACCATTACAAGTAAAAAAAGAAAATGCCACATGTATGAGCAATGAATTGCAAAGAACTAACAGAAATGAGAAAACTTAATGGAATTTAGCTGAAGATATATTGTTAGTGTTACATGTGATTTATGATTTCTAGGTAGTTATTTAGAGACCATGCAATTATTATGGTTCGAGTCATAATGTGTGTGATAATTTAATAGCTACCTCTAAAAATAAAAATAAAATTAGAAGAAAAACTACTCACTTGTTATGTATGGGAAGAGGCGGGGTGTCAGTACCGTCCCAAACAAAGAGCATCCACCCATCTCTTTTTGTTTCACGTGCATGGAGAATCTTATTCATAATTACATTTTCCAGTAAGATGCAGCAGAAATTGGGGATTGTGGATGAGTAGATAATATGTTATGTGCTTGATATACTGCTAGAGTTAAAAAAAAAAACTTGGTTAGGGTGAAGTACCTTACAAACCAAATTGAAGTGGATGCCTTCCCTTAAATCTTTCAACTGTAACAAGTCAGCAGGTCCTATTAAGCAAAAATATCATTAGAGGTTGGGGCATATACAAAACACATTCTAGAAACATTTCCTTATTTAGAAGCTGCAAAATTAGAGACTTAGACTCAACTTGTTATGAATGTTGTTGCTTTAGCACCTGCATCACAGTGCTCACCAGTCAACCACTTCCGTAGGCCCAGTATAAATTTATTATCTTGCTCTCTGGCATGAAATTTATTGGAGCACTGGTAAGGTGTAAAACTTGTGCCGTGTTTTCCTTCATATAACGCAAATGATGAGAACTTCTTGTTGTAAGAAGCATTAACCGCATCAGGTCCATAAGTTTTCATCTGCATACAGTATGCTTTTAAGTGTAATTTCACAACTCTGAAAATCTAAACAGGGTCATTTTGCATTTGCTCAACTGCGTCAGAAGTGTAATTGTTCAACCAATTTGGCATGGTTAATTAGTGTGGGTTCTTCCACAGTTCTCTAAAGTGAAACTTAAAAAGCATGGAACATAATCATCCCCAAACAAAATCAAATATGATCAGAGGTTCATAAGAACACATGTCAAATTTAGCACCTCAACGATGAAACGATTCACTTTCAAGCGTCATGCAGTTCATCAACAGGTTCATGGCTAGACAAGATAATACAGTTTCTTTTAAAACATGAAAATTGCTTCAGAACATAGTACCACAACTTGAGAGAGCTGAACAATATCTCCATCCGCCATCACCTGAGGCAGCTTGTCCATTGTCTCCGCGAAAAAATTAACTGAGAGTCCATGACTGGGACGCGATTCATCAATAATTCTGATCGAAACGCAACAATCTACGTATATTCCACCAACAGAAATCACGAAATTTGAAAATGATTGAATCGCGCATAGATTATGCATACAAGGTATATAAAAAGTGGGGCATTAAGTAGGTTTTTCACCAGTGCCTTTGGACTGCTTTGGAAGGCCACTCTCAGTGACGACGCCAATGAGATTGACTCTTTGGTTGATTGAGGCTATGGCGTCTGCTATCTGAAGAAACTTGTAGTCATCGTCTCTCCTCGCCATTTTCGCTCTTTTTGATTTCCGTCGACTTCTCTTGCTGAGTCGATGGAAATATAGGGAGCGGTAGAGTAAATGGGAGCGCATGACAGGATTCTGAAACGGGTTCCTGGATTCTTGATGTTTTCTTCTTTTTTTTCCCCGGATCTAAAGTGTGAAATTTGGAAGAGAGTTTGGAACTAAACAAAGCCCATGACCGGTGGCATAATGATTTAGGAGAATTCTGTCTTGGACTAACTCTAGGTGACCCTCTTCACTTTTAGGGTATGTTTGGTTGGAAGGGAGGGAAGGAGAAATGGATGGGAGGGAATGGGAAGGGAAGGAAAGGAAAGGATTCCCTTCACCTTGTTTGGTTTGAAGGGGAAGGAAATTTTTATTTTTAATTTTTTATTTATAGTTTTCATTTTTAAAACTACTTTTTATCTATTATAAAAAAAGTTATTATGAGTGTTTTTTATTTTATTCTTTCATTTTTTAAAAAATTTTAATTTTTTATTACTATGTTTATCATTTCTCCTATATTTTAATTTTTTTTATTTTCATATGTAATTTATTTCTTAAATTTAATTAAGTGTATATATATGTATATATGTATATGTATACGTATACTATTTTATTTATTATTTATCATTACGATTTTCCATTATGAATTGATCGATTTATTTTATTATTATAATTATTTATTATCAATTTTAAATTTTTATTTATAATTTTTTTATTTATGTTATTGTTTTTATTATGGGTTTTTATTTTATGATATTAATATTTTTATTTTTTTATTCTTATTTTTTATATATACTTGTTTATTATTATTATTATTTTACTTGTCATTTATTTTTTTATTTATTTTATTACTATACAGTTTTTGTTATTATTTTTTTTGTTAGTTTAAAATGATTTAATTTTTTATTTATTTATTTTAATTTTATTTTATTATATATTATTTTTTATTGACAAGGCGGAAAATTTGACGAAAGAAGAAGAGAATAACAAGAGGGGAGGAGATTCCGTAAAGCTGAGTAACAAGAGGGGAGAATAAAACATACTACACGCTCAGCGGTAAAGCTGAGTAAGCATATCTAATGCGTCGAACATCCATATAAATTGAATCCAAATTCATAATCAAATCATTTGATATCATGCACAAAGTGTTCAGTTCAAATAATCAATATTCAACATTCGTCATTCAATACTCATATTCAGCATTCAACATCCTCATTCGACAATATCCTTAAACTATTCTTAGTCTAAGGCCAATCTATTTGATGTTTACCAACTCTTAAACGAATTCTAATTTAAGATATTTAAACTATATCCGTGTTTAAGGTACTCTTAACTAACCCTTAAGCTAAGCCTAGTTTAAGATACAAATTTTCAAAAAGAGGTTTTCAAAATCTTAAACTTACCTTCGCTTAAGGTCATCCAGAAACCAAACAACGGAATGTTCACTGTCGGGTTGGGTGGTATCCCCAAACGAGTTCCTCTAGTTTGGTTCGTAGATCCCGTACGTACGTTTTAACCCAGGCCACCGAATATTCATAATTATACCCGCAAGGCCTATTTCTAAGCCATCTTAGAGGTCTTCTAGATAGTCTTAGAAATCAACGTCAACCTAGGTATATCTTAGAGTTCTTCTAGATATCCTTACAATCCAAATCATTTCATAATCATCAACATATTCATTTCAATTCATAATTTAATCTTCAATAATCATTTTAATCAGTAGTTTCATCAAGTCATAATCATCATAATCATCAATCAACATAACATTTGATAACAAACAGCGGCCTAGTCTCGAGTGTTAACACCCGAACTTACCGTCATGCATCACATAATATTTTATATGCCAAAAATATCATTTTTTATTGTGAAAAATCATTTTTATAGTAATCATAATCAACTGGTATCAAAAATAGGATTTTAGAACCCAAAATAGCATTTTTGTAGCTAACTGCGTTCGGAACGGTCGATCGTTTCAGGTGACGGTCGACCGTCGTTGCCTCCGTTGTACTGAAGCTACTGGCCCGGTAACGGTCGACCGTGGTGACGGTACGGTCGACCGTTGCTGCATAACAGCAACAGTACTTCATCTTCAACCTCGGGTCAGATTTTCGAAAAGTCATTTTTAGCCACCAATTTCAATTAAACTTTATAGAAATGTTCTCCAATGTTCAAAGATCATTTAAATGCCATTAATTCAAAGTTTTAACAACAATTTCAAGGTTTATGATTCTTGGTTCTTCAAGCATGTCGAACACAAAACTCAACTAAATGACCGTTTATGAACGTAAAAACGATCTATATGAACATTCTAGTCATTAGATATATCTACGGGCTTACCTCGAAGTTAAACGAAGGTTTTGAGAATTTTCTGACAAAACTTCCGGCGATGATAACTCCCAACTCCGGCGACCTCTCACGAAATTGAAAGCACCAGTGTGTTCTTCTCTCTCAGGGCAGCAGAATAGAAGGAAATATGGAGTGTTTTGGTGAAGAATAGAGGAAGATAGGTTTCCTTATATAATAGGAAAAGGGAGGAAAAAGCCAGCTTTGTGAAATTTCCGTGAAGATTTGGTGCGGCTAGTGCGCCGTTCGAACAACAGCGCCGTTTGGAGTGTAGTCCCTGATTGGGACTAATTTCAGTCTCAGTTGGGGTACACTTCTTGGTCCAACTTTCTCCAAATTGAAATCCGATTGAACCGTTGAAGTCAGACAGTCAAACTCTACACAACGATATTATTTTTATTAATTATAGACAAACTTTATAAATCACTTATTTTTGGGTCCTTCTCAGTAATTAATTAATTATCAATTAATTAATTCTGATAGGCCTATTTTCGGGGCGTTACAGTAATTGTCTCGTTTGCACAAATAATTATGGTATCACTCATGGGGTCACCCATGTTGGATTACTCTAGCGTTATCATTTGCTCTTTGACGCCGTATTTTAGTGTTTTTATCTAACTACGGAGTACATTTTTTATACTTCTTGTTAATAATAATTTTGTAAGGAGTAGATAAGATTTAATCATTAATTAAATAAAAATTATAATAACTATTTTTTAAAAATCAAAATTAAACTTTTTCCATTCTGAAAAAAGACTCATATTTACTACTTGGAGGTCTAAACTTGCCCTATTTTTTTTATACATTTTCATCAATCATTTAATAAAATAAAACAACCATAATACTACTTCGTATTTGTTTTGTAGAGGTTTTGATGTAATTTCCTAATAGGAAAAGTTATCTAAAATAATCTCAACTTTACTGCGTCTTTCAAATATAATCCCACTTTTCACTATAATGCATAATAATTCCAACTTTACTAAAATTTACGAGTTTTGGGCCATTGTTAAGTTATTAATGGCGGGTTAACGGAACGGCCTATTTTGTGCAACAAAAAGAAAATTGAGATTATTTTTGGTGAATTTTCAATTTTTTTATTTTAAAATTTTTATTTAAATTTTTAAAATAACTTTCTTCATGAATTTCTTTTTCCATTTTTAAATATTATACTTATATTATAAAATATAAAAAAATTAATTGAAAATGAGAAAAATAACGAAAACCATGCAAAATTTATGATATAAATAAGGTAATTAATAAAAAATCAAACTACAATTGAAAAAAACAAAATAAAAATAACAAGTGGAGTTCTCTAACATTTTATGCATTATACGGAGTATTAATGTACTACGTATTTTTTGAAAGAACGTGTAGAGTTAGGATTATTTTAGATAATTTTTCCCTAAAAATAAGAAGAAGTAGTATATTAATGCTCTATATAGTCTGTATAGTAAAATGTTAAAATCCACCACTCCATCTATTTTTATTTTATTTCTTACTAGTTTTAGGTTAATTTCTATTGATTACTATTTTTCATTAACTTTATATGATTTTAGTTAGTTTTCTAATTTTCATTATTTTTTATATCTATTTTTTATTTTTATCCAAAGGCAGATTTATCTTTTTTTAAAAAGAAACGATGGAGGTAAAAAGTAATTTTAAAAGTTTAAATCAAAATTTACAAAAAAATTAAAAAACAAATATTCATCGCAAATTATTCCAACTTTCATTTTTATGCTCAAAACATTCCATTTTCAATTCGTTAATTCACTGTTAGTAACTTAACGGCAACCCAATATTTGGAAATTTCAATAAACTTGGGATTATTACGCATCACAGTTATAGATTAAATTATTTTTAAAAAACTGGAAAAAGTTGAAATTATTATGGATAATTTTTCCTTTCTAATATATAATTTTCATTTTTTATTCTACCTTAATTTTAACTTATATTGATTTGAAAGTAACTATAGTAAATAACGTAAAAGAAACACAAGCCATATTTCGAGACGAAAGAAATATCATTATTAGTACTTAATAATTTAATTAAATTTATCATGTACTCGTAAAATATTTTCTAATACTATGTAGTTTCTTTATTTTATCAATATTGATTGATGGATATATCTTATGGGCGAGATTATTATCAATTCAAAAAGTAAAATTGGGTGATATGAGCTACAAAATACTTTAATTAATTTTATAGGCCTTGAGAACATCCTACAGAGCTACACAAGCATGGAGGCATGCCCATGTATATACTATGTAACCGTAAATTTTATACAATAAATACATATGGTTTTTCTAAGCAACTAATTGGAAAGCTCTTATGTTTACACAATGAATATTTGAACTTTTTAACTTCACACAAGATATATTTAACCGTTGTGTAAACTTTACACGATAGATAAATATGCAATGTGTAAAGAGAGGCTGTTGATGATATGTCATTTAATTGTTGGAGTCGTTGCCCACCGCAACTATAGTCAACAGTTATCGTTTATGTGCGAAGTCTTAGAAAAACTGAAAATTTTAAAAAACTAATTGTAGCCAATGATCTAAGCTACTTGCATGAGCGTGCAATTTTGGCTCCTACATTGGATGTCGTCGATTCCATAAATGAGTATATAACAACGATGAATCCAAGCAACGAATCCCGAACATACCTTAGTTCTGACAAGGTTGAAAGCTCGAACTGCAGTTCAAGTTTTTTTGGCGACTTACACTCTCCAGAATTCTTAAATAAGAGCCGTGCTTTTGGTGTACCGAATCATGAGTTAACTTTCAAGGTAGACACACCTATTATGTTGATGCGAAATACTGACCATTTAATGAGTTTATGTAATGGTACACGGTTGATACTAAATTGGTTGGCTAATCACTCAACACAAGAAAAGATATTATCAGGAAGCCACATGGGTGAAGAAGTTGTTATTCCAAAACTATCATTAACATCATCCGATACAAGAAGTTTCAAAGAAGACAATTCCATGTGTTTACTTCGTACGCAATGACGATTAACAAGAGTCAGATACAATCTCTAAAACATGTTGGATTATTATTACAGAAACCGGTATTTACTCATGAACAATTGTATGTTGCAGTTTCAAGAGTAACTAATCGTAGTGGATTGAAGATTTTGATATGCAAGAAGACAATGTTCATACAAATTGTACAAATAATGTACTCCGTAGTATACAAAGAAGTTTTTCGAAATTTGTAAAACAACGATATTTTATACCTTGAAATAATATAATTTCTATATTCTATCACATCTTATTTTTTAGCATTAAAAAATAATCTTAATTTAATGACGTAAAAATGATCCGTACAAAACATATGTGTGAAACTACTAACTAGCTACATGTAGGGGTGTTCATTTATAGTTCTGGACCCAATAGGATTTCGGGTCGATCCAGAAATTACTAACTCTAAACCCAATCGGTCCAGACCGAACCTGAATCAAAAGGATTTCGGGTCGATCTTCGGTCCGTAGTATTTTTAATTTCGGGTTTCGGTCCGGTCCGGTCATTACCCAATTACCAATAGGTCAAGACCGAGATTGACCAATATCCTCCTAAACTTTAATCGCCATCGCCTATTCGCCTGTGTTGTTCGAGAGCAAAGGATTCGCCGAGAGGCTTCGCCGTCTCGCAGAGTCCCACCCAGCCATCTCCAATTCGCCGAGAGCCTTCGCCGTCAGTCCCACTGCCCAGCGCCGACTGCCCAGCACTGAGTCGCCGACTTACTCAATCCCAATTGAATCAGGTATGGGTACTCATCTCGTCTCCCTCGTCTCCTTCTCTGTAATCCCTAGTCTTCTTGTCTATTAGGGTTCTTCTTGTTAAATTATTCCCATGTTATTTGTAGGGCTTAGCAAAATTGTTTTATTCTTAGATTATTTTTCCAAATAACATTTGAAACTTTTAAATTTGGCTAAGGTATTCAAGCAAATCTGATTGTCAATTGTTAAAAAAATAGCAATGTCAATTGTTAAGTTCTTGTGCTTACTCAATGACTAAGTAATTATTGAATGGTTTATGTGATACTTACTGGATGTTGTTCTTGTGCTTACTCAATGACTAAGTAATTATTGAATGATTTCTCTATGTTGTTAACATAGTAATTTCACTAATTTGTAACTCAATAATATTTGGGTGCTAATTTATTTGATTGCACATTTGGATTGATGGTACTTGTTAAAGCTGTTACTAGCTAAGTATGATGATGCCTTGCGTTTTACAAGTTGAAGTGGGCTTCAAAATTACAATTTGTATGTTTGGGTTTGGTTTTATGTTAGGTCTATGGTGAAGAAGCTTTTGGTTCTTGAATTTGGAATCCTGGGGGACCAATAAAGATTATAATTTTTGCTGTTATATGGATGCAGCAACATCTTCAGGGCACAAAACTGACATAAGCATTACTAGATCATAGGATCAGAATTTAGTGCATAACAGGAGCATTGGTTTTCTGGATTTGAAGTTGCACGAATTTTTGTTTTGTACAAATGGTGAAGGGATGTTGCTACTTACTATTTCTTTTATGAATTACATTTTGTAGTGTTTTGGTTGTATAAGATTTAAGAAATTCAACTAAAAAAAATTTTGGTCTAATCGGTCTATTCGGGTTCGGTCTAAGAGTTTTCGGTCCAGACCGGTCCAAGACCGACTGAGAATAGGCCCGGTCTTCGGTCCTATATTTTTTCAATTCGGTCTTTGGTCCGGTCCGGTCCGGTCCTGGACCGATGAACACCGCTAGCTACATGTAATAATGAGCTGATTTCCATAATCCTTTTTCCGCCTCTTCTCTCGGGGAAGGAAGGAACACGGAGAGGGAGTTGTCTTCGGTCCTCCATCACCGCCAACCTACGTCTTCGTCTTCCTCTCTATCGCCGGTCGTCATCATCATCTTGCCATCGTCTTCTCCCTGTGCGCGGACAATAGTGGCTGAAGGCAACGGCGATCAACAACGGTGAACTCCCTTCGAATCGGATTTAAACTCTTCGTCTAATAGAGGTGAGTCATGTTCATATGTCGATTATTAGCATTAATTCATTGATTAGATTCGTATATGGGTAAATCTAGCAAATGATTGTGAATAGGATGTTGAATTGTTTGTGATTTGTGCGTGGTCCTAAAATCTCTAGTTGTTTTCTGGCGGGACGCTGGCAGTAGGCTGGGCAGCGCTGCTGGTTGATCTTTGCAGGTCCAATTGGACTCAATTGTGTCGATTGGGTTGATTTGGATTTTGTTTAGGGTTAATTGGGTCTATTTGGGTTTAATTTGATGCAAATGGGTGAAGATTGGTTCAATTAGGTCCAATTTGGGTGGTTTGGATCCAATTGGGTGAAGATTGGTTTAATTGTTTTGTTTGGGTTTGTTTGGGCTGTTATTTTTGATGACGTTGTTGGAGGGACTGCCGGGCAGTGTGGGCAGCAGGCCCGAGGTCTGCGGGATGGGTTCGTGGTCGCTTGTGGCTGCTTGTGGACTGGAAGGTGGGGCTGCCGGTTTGGGCATCGGTGTTGGGTGTCGGGTTTGGCCTGGTGGGTTGTCGGGTCAAACCGGCGGTAACATAAACTGTTCCGGCGGGGGTAGTGAGCCTGAGGATTGAGTCCTTGGTTCTGAATTCGCGTCATAGGTAAGTTTATTTATTTCTAACATTGGGTTAACTGTGTGTTTACTCCACATCAAGACTACTAAAAAAAGTTGTCTTATATGCACAAGAATGACATACCTTCCTCTTTTGGAATGTTAGGCTGATCTAACAAAAGCTGCTTGAGGGCACATAAGTCTTTGGTCACACCACTATAAAATCAAGAAGCAATAACGTTAGATCCATTAATAATAATAATAATAATAATTATTACTATTACTATTATTATTATTATTATTATTATTATAATACCCCTACTGTTTAAGCACGACGGTAACAGAAACCCGATGATTCCGTTAAGTTGCTGTTTGTTACGTTGACATATAGATTGTGTTCTAAATTGAATTAAATCTATTGGTAATGAATTGTTGATTTTCATTATGTACAAAGATAGAGCACCTAGTGAGTTAGGTTGATCTTGACTGAATTGAATACTGTAATCACCAATAAGATTATTAAGAATCAGCCCATGTGAGCTGTGGCCCGTGAGTGCATACTCGATGGCTCGGGGTTAAAAACGTACTTACGGAAGTCCACTACCTATTCTCAGCACCTCTGAGATAGAGGCTTCAACCCACCCATTGGACACCTTCAGTGGGTTTGAGCATGGCCTCCCGGCACCTCTGGAGTGTGAGAGTGAGACTTGTTGTGAGGATTTTTGGTATTGAACTAATAAATGGACAAAATGTCGAAATGACATGACATGGTTTGCATCATTATAATATGTTGCTATTCTTTGAACTGTATCTAGCATTAGATACATTCTCATTCAGCTTTTAGCTGAGCGCGCAGTCTTTCTTGTCTTTGTTGCACGTAGGTATAATTGGGTCTAGGAAGAATTAGAAAAATGTAATTAGATGGGACAGGACTTCTGGCCAGGTTATGAATTTAGATAGGAGCATCTGGAGATTAAGGACTAGGGTATTGGGGTAGTCGTTTGGATCTAGGCCATAGTTTTTGCTTTTTAACACGATCGTTGCTTTCCTTTTCGATCCTTTCTTAGTGGCTGATACCGTATAAACTACTTGTTAGATTAGGAATAATGTTATGTATAATTCTATTAGGGACAAAACAATGCTTATTCCTTTTATGTTCTTTGGTTTTCACCTCTTTCTTTTGAAGGAAGGAAATTTGGCTTCTTAGAAGAAAGAATCGGTTTGAAGTCACAAGCATACCATTTGAAGTGGTAGTTGGTTGACTTGGCTCAATTTTTGAATGAGTAAACCATGCACAGGTCAAGCTTGAACATAGTTATAAGATTTTGGTATGGTTTATTTCAATTGCATCTTTAGGCAAATGACCCACACACATCTAAGCAAAATAATTCAAATTGGCCTCGCGTAACCTCAATTTGTATCATGTGGTTTTTGATATCTCTTGTTGTCTGATGAACCGTAAGGCTTGAGCATGGAATCCACTATTAAGAAATTTCAACAGCGGCTCAAAAAAGTGAAGAATGTGATTGATAATTGGGAGAAGCTTCAAACTAGACTCATGTCCCAGTTTGCTAATGCTTCTTTCATCATCGAGAGGTTTCAGGTCTTTAGTTCTACTTATTTCTTACTTCCCAATAAAAAATTGAATTTGCTCATTTATAAAACAAAATAACTCAAATTTTGGAATCTTGAATCAAAATGTAATGTTATTACATGTGAAAGGCCACTGCACTATATATTTGATGTATGTGTGTATGCCTTAAGCTCGCATTATGGCTGCCCTCCGCTCGCCTTGCCTTAAAAAAGGCCCTCTTTCCCTTCGCCTTAAAAAAGGCCCTCTTGCCCTTCGCCTTTCATGACTATGGTCAAAATAGAAATGAATTTTTGGGCGAAGGGAGTATAAATTGAGTATTAAGTCGAAGCTAGCTTCAAGAGTCTTGTTGGATAAAAGGAATTTAGGTTGGAAGAAAGGTATGTTCTATTGATCCGTAGTAGGACCGGCTATGCTTTATGGAGTGGAGTCTTGGGAGTTAAGAAAGTCCACATTCGTCAACTGCATGTGGCACAAATGATGATGCTGCCATAGGTGTGTGGGCAAACAAGGTTAGATAAGATTCAGAATTTATCCAAGTAAAGGTGGGAGTCGCACCTATGGAGGATAAGATACGTGAGGGTGGTGAGGCACGATTGAGATGGTCAAGTCATGTGAAGCGGCATAGCATTGAGGCCCTAGTGCAGAGATACGAGAGGCTTACGATGGTGGGTGGATGTTGAGAGGGGTAGGCCTAGGAAGAATTCAAAAGAGGTAATTAGTTAGGATAGGACTGTTGGCCCTTTCCTAGGATATGAATTTAGATAGGAGCGTCTGGAGATTGAGGACTATGGTAGTGGGGTAGTCGTTTGGATCTAGGCCATAGTTTTTGCTTTTTAACACGATCATTGCTTTCCTTTTCGATCCTTTCTTAGTGGCTAATACGTTATAAAATGCTGTACTTGTTAGATTAGGAATAATGGTATGTATAACATAATACTTATTCCTTTTATATTCTTTGGTTTTCCATCATCTCCGATGGAGCCAAAATTTCACCATTTTTTGGCTTTGGGGTGTGATGGAATAAATCAAAATGGATCTCAAAACTGTCTGCGCTTCTGTAATTAATGAAGTAGCACTTAGTCAAACAATGCAACTTTCGACGTTGAGCTGGGGTCTCTTTGGAAACAGCCTCTCTACTTTCGAGTAGGGGTAAGGTCTGTGTACACACACCCTCCCCAGACCCTACTCTTGTGGGATTTAACTGGGTTGTTGTTGTTGGTTTTCACTTCTTTCTTTTGAAGGAAGGAAAATTGGCTTCTTAGAAAAAAGAATCAATTTGAAGTCACAAGCCTACCATTTAAAGTGGTAGTTGGCTCAATGTTGGAATGAGTGAACCATCCAGTGGTCAAGCTTGAACATAGTTATAAGATTTTAATATGGCTCATTTCAATTGCATCTCTAGTCAAATGACCCACACATGTCTAAGCTAAAAAATTCAAATTGGCCTCGCCTAACCTCAATTTGTATCCTCTGGTTTTTGATATCTTTTGTTGTCTGATGAGCCATAAAGCTTGAGCATGGAATCCACTATTAAGAAATGTCAACAAGGGTTCAAAAAAGCAAAGAATGAGATTGATAATTGGGAGGAGCTTCAAACTAGATTGATGTCCCAGTTTGCTAATGCTTCCTTCATCATCGAGAGGTTGCAGGTCTTTAATTCTATTTATTTCTTACTTCCCAATAAAAATTTGAAATCTTTCATTTATCATATACAATAATTCTATATATCTCATTTAGGTAATTCAAGATTCCAAAAACTATGGGGCCTTGGCATGCATTCAAGGTATTGAAGATGTTGTTTTGGCAAAACAGTTACATTCTCTGCAAACTATTTTGGTTTCAATGAACAAGACAATGTACGCCCTTATGTTCCCTCTACTTTCTTTTCTGTTCCAGTTCTCAAAAAGCTTGCTTGAAGTTGAACAGAATTTGTTTTTTTTTATTCTTGGTATTTTACAATTGAGTATTATACATACACATCTCTTGGAACACAATGTCACAACCTCTCTCACGTGTGGGCGGGTTTTCTTTAGAAAGACTTGCCCGCTTATGAGTGTGGGAGTGGCACAATGTTCCAGGGGTTGTGCACATATAATTTCTGTTTACAATTTTTAGAGGGTGTTTTAGAGTGTGGTTAGTAATGGAAAAGTAGAAGTTATAAGTTAGAAGCGGTAAGCAATTATTTTTAGCTTTGCTAGAAAGTGCTTCTAGACCTTAATTTCTACTTCTAAAGCTATAATTCATAAGTTAAAGTAGTTTCCCAAACATTTAAAATTGTGTTTTAGTAAAGTAGAAGCTATAAGTTGTTTTCAAATGCACTCCCAAACATCTTCTTATACTCCCAACATCCCAAAATAAGGTTTTGAGTTTGAATTATCACACTTAATAAGAAACTTGGAATTGCATGGTTGAGATCTATTCAAAAGAACTAGAACTAATATGAAGCACACAATTATTTTCTTAAAAGTAGAACCTTAATTTAGGATGGACAATAAAGGAAGACAGACATTTGAGATATTGCACATTCCCTCTCCAATTAAATTCACACATTATTTCTTCTTATTTCCAAAATAAAGTTCAAACTTCTCTTTAAGAATACTTGGCTCCCAACGTTCTTCTCTCTTCCAAACACATTTATGCTGTACACATGTCACTTTTCAACTCTTTTCTTGAACTTTGTGCAGTCAACTACAAATTTAATTTGGGGATGGAGGGAGTATATCTTTTTTTAAGGAAAGGAGGGAGTATACCTTACAGCTGTTAAGTTACTGCATTTTCATGGCATATAGTTATGGTTTTCAATGGCATAACAAATTAAACTGTTTCATGCATGGACATCTAGGGAAGAATTTCATTCCATTGTTTTATCGTTCGAGAAGATTGTCCGTGATGGTAGACATCAAGTAAAGTGTGGGTCAACCCGGCCAACTATGAAACAGTTGCAGCAACGAGTTGGCATCAAACCAAGCCTTGCAGATTGCTTAGATGGGCTTAGTATTCTCTGTGAGATGCACCAATCAGAGTAAGCAAGCACTCTTGGTACCAAGTTCAATGACTTTTATATGTACGTTGTAGTGTTTTTGTGTGTTCATGTGATTTAAAACCATCATGGTTTTTGTTAGTCATCTCTAGTACTGCTATAGTTTGCTAGTCATCTCTTGCACTTCATCCACAGGCCTCACCACCATTGATTTTGTTGGATTTGCTTTCAGTTAGTTTTTCCAAATTTACCCTCTAGAAGATGTGCAACCATTGCAAAGGTTGTGCAAACAGATGATCATGCCAAACCATATATGGGAAGAGATTGGATAATATTAAATATTAGCTCAAATGAGGAGTGTGGATGTACTTTGTTTTTTGGAGAAACTTATTATTAATTAGTTTTCATCCTCATCCTTTCATAAAGTCCATCCCAGAATTGGAATAAGGTACCACATTTGATTAAGCACAATTATTAGGAAACATGATATTGTGTGGTTGTGATCTATACAAGAAAGAGAGAAATAATACTCCGTATGTATTACACCATTCTTTCATTCTGTTTTGGTCCAAACCAGAACCTTTTTTCTGGACAAGTGAGAGTAGCAACTATGAGACAAACAGTTCAGTCATTTTTTTGAAAGCAAAAGTTCAGTCATTAAATTGCTCTAGTAACATTATTACACTGTTTCAGGTACCATCTCAAATCAACTGTGGTTTCTGCAATATCAACACTTGCCTTGAAACCGAGGTTTGATGTTCTTCACCTCAGTGTTTTATTTATCCATTTCAAAATACATGTTTGTTCTGTTCCTAGGGATATAATAATAATAATAATAATAATAATAATCATAATAATAATAATAATTATTATTATTATTAATGGATCTAACGATATTGCTGCTTGATTTTATAGTGGTGTGACCGAAGACTTATGTGCCCTCAAGCAGCTTTTGTTAGATCAGCCTAACATTCCAAAAGAGGAAGGTATGTCATTCTTGTGCATATAAGACAACTTTTTTTAGTAGTCTTGATGTGGACTATGAAGCCTATTGTTTTTTTGTAGTGCAATTTATATTTGATGTCATCTTTGCCGAAGACAACTGTTGATCAGCTCATAAGTCATAACACGCGTGGGACATTGTGGAAACATCTGCCTTTTCTGGGGTTGTGCTTATGTTTCAAATCTGTGCTCTGTTCTTTATCTTCTGAGCAAACAAAACTATTTTGTTTTTGCTCAATAAAATATTACCCTCTCCATCCCATATACTCCGTAGTTTATTGGCATGTTTGTCCCAATTCCCAAAACAGAGACTTCTATTCAATGAAAACAAGCTGAAGGGAAAATAATATGTATTTCACAAAAAATGGCATTTTTTAGACATTTCATAAAAGAAAACAGAACGAAAATAATTGGATGGATGGATGGATTTGCTTATTGATGCTATTTGCTTTAGGGCTTCTTTGACCATGCGTAATGCAATCCCAATTCTTGCCAAATGACGCCACACGCCATTGCCCCTCATGCGTGAAAAGTGTTAAGGAATAGACCCATTAAATAATATTTTTAAAACAAACTTTTTTTAATGGGTATAAAATTAACTTAGAAAAAAACATTTGTTTGATCTATTTAGGGCATGTTCTTTAGAATTTAAATTAACTTCTAGTTTCTTTCAGTTTTTCCAGTTCCTTCTATTTTCTTCTAGTTCTTTCCAATTTTATTTACTTTCAGTTTCTTTCGGTTTTTTTCATTTTTCCAACTATTTTCATTTTTCTTCAAATTTTTTCTACTCCCCAAACAATTAATCTAAAAACGATGTATTTCTAATGTTGTTGTTGTTATTATTACTATTATTATTGTTATCAATATAATAATAATAATAATAATAATAATAATAATTTATATTATATTCTTATTATTATTACAACTATTATGTTCATAACTAGTTAATGAACTATTTCATTTTGTTTATTTTTTATATGTCACTATTTTTACGATTCACATTCTTCTAAATTGAAGTAAGGAAAACATTTTTCAATTTTTTATAAAAATTTTTGAGTGCCAAAATATTTTAAAGAAAAATACTAAGCTCCTAGTAAAACATAAAAATATACCAAATATTAGTTCTATATTTTAATTCCCAAAATAAGTGTTATAATGCAAATACAATGTCAATCATGAAAGAAAAAAATTGAATTGATCACATTATGTGACAAGTCTGATATTTAAAATAAAATCTTGTACTCCCTCCGTCATAAAACTTTCTTCTCAGTTTGACTTTTCTCCATTTTTAATTTTTGGCTTTGACTTCAAATTTTACCCTCCTTAAAAAAGATTTTTTGAATTGTTTTTGCAATCATTCAAAATATAGAGTTAGAAGATAATTGGTGTAAATACATGAGGGTATTAATGTCATTTGTCATCTTTTTTTCTAATAGGAAGGTAGTTTTAGGACGGAGAAAAAAGAGAAGTGGGAAGAAAGTTTTAGGATGGAGGGAGTAATATATAAAATGTAATTAAAAAAATTCTCTCTCCGTCCCTTAATAATGTTCCGTTTTTGACTTCTGTAGGAATTAAGGGAGGGATATTTGTGCTTTGACTTTCCCTTTTTACCCCCCAACCCTAAAATAAAGTAAAGAAAAGCAAAAGTATGAATAGTGTAAAGTAAGATTAAATAATTAAATGGAGTACAAATGCAATCAAATCGGCAGTACATTCATGAGAGGAAAACAGGAAGCAGCCCATACTTCTTGTACGGCTGAACAAATACACTACAATTACAGCCACCATTTTTTTTGGGAAATTTGAACTTCCCTCCAACCAAAACCCTCCAAAACGAAAATGGAAATACATTAAAATCAGAATTCTATTTAAGGAATGCATTCACTTATTCTTTCTTCTCTTCTTAAGCTTCTTCATGGCCCCTCCTGAATCTTCTTTGGATTCATCCACTTCCTTTTCCTTTTCAGACGATGAGTCATCCTCGTTTGACAATCTTCCCCAAGTGATTGACGTGCCTTTTCCTAACCTCGACACTCCTGCAACAGAAATCGAAAACAACGGGAAAGGTTGTGTACAAAATGAAAAACGAAAAAGGGTGGTCGATGTGTTACTGCAACAGTCCAAAAATGGCAAACTTCAGCACGGTGTCATTAAGAAGGTAGCTGAGGAATTCAGCTTTTCAGTGAAAACAGTCAGCAAGCTTTGGGCAGTAGCTACAAGTCAACTCGAGGGTGGTCTACCCGTTAATGTTGAATGCAAAAGGAAAGGGAATAGTGGCAGAAAAAGGCTCCCTCTTGACATGGAAAAAATGGCAGCAGTGCCTTTTAATAGGAGAAAGAACATGCGTGCACTTGCCCATGCTATGGATGTGTCAAAATCCACAGTCCATAGATGGCTTAAATGGAAAAACATCAGGAGGCATTCTAATGCCATTAAGCCACTATTATAAAAAAAAAGGTATGCTTAATAGACTGAAGTTCTGTTTGGATCATGTAACTGCCCCCTCTGTCTCCATTAGCCCAAAATTCCATGACTTTTATGACCATATTCATATTGATGAGAAATGGTTTGACATAACAAAACAAACCTCAACATACTATGTACTACCAGATGAGGTAGACCCATACAGAACCATCCAAAGCAAGAGTTTCATACCAAAAATAATGTTTCTAGCTGGTGTTGGTAGGCCTAGGTATGGGGAGGATGGGGAGCTTCAATGGGATGGGAAAATAGGCATTTTCTCATTCACTTATGAAGCTCTAGCTCAAAGGTCTAGTAAGAACAGGCCTGCAGGAACAATGGAAGTAAAGCCCATCCCAATCATAAATAGAGAAGTGATGAAGATGAATGTTCTTACTAAGTTACTGCCAACAATTAAAGAAAAATGGCCAGGACCATCAAGGAATATAATAGAAGCTGCCCAAGAAGATACTTGGAACATTCAACTCAAGTTCCAGCCACCCAACAGCCCTGACCTAAACGTACTTGATCTTGGATTATTTAGGTCCATTGACTCTCTGCAAGACCAAACAGCAGCTAGGTCCTTGACAGAGTTGATTCAAGCTATTACAACAGCTTATGAAGAACTATCACCAGAGAAACTTAATAATGTATTTTTGACTCTTCAAGGGGTGATGGGTGAGGTTCTAAGTCACAATGGAGGTAACCAATTCAAAATCCCTCACATTGGAAAAACAAGATTGGCCAGAGAAGGGACACTGCCCCAAAACTTGGGAGTTACCAGACAGGTGTATGAAACTGAAAAAGTGTTCTTAGAGGAACAAATATGAGTACCTTGATTTAGTGTACTTTTTGATATATGTGTAAACATTGCCAAGGAAAGATACAATGTTTCCATGTACTTCTAGAGACTTTTTGCACAATTATTGGATGGGAACATGTGTTGCAAGGACTTTTGAAAGCCAGAGAAGAACTTTTGAACATGCAGATTTTAGGCAATGGGATATTTTTGCTTTTTGTGGTATTACAGTTTAGATTGTAATGAAAGTATACATTATATTGTACTGCAAGTATACCTTATCTTTGGTCATGTATCTAAGTGTACCCTTATATTGTAATCAGGTGTAGTAAATGTTTTACCAAGCATAGAATCTGTTTTACTAATTTAATAGGCACCCATAGGATCTGTTTTACCTAATCATAAGCCAAGCATATGATCTGTTTTACCAAATGAAAAGCCAAGCATAGGATCTGTTTTACCCAATGAAAAGCCAAGCATAGGATCTGTTTTACCAAATCAAAAGCCAAGCATAGGATCTGTTTTACCAAATGAAAAGCCAAGCATAACATCTGTTTTACCAAATGAAAAGCCAAGCATAGGATCTGTTTTACCAAATCAAAAGCCAAGCATAGGATCTGTTTTACCAAATGAAAAGCCAAGCATATGATCTGTTTTACCAAATGAAAAGCCAAGCATAACATCTGTTTTACCAAATCAAAAGCCAAGCATAACATCTGTTTTACCTAATAAAAAGCCAAGTATAGCATCTGTTTTACCTAATAAAAAGCCAAGCATAGCATCTGTTTTACCTAATAAAAAGCCAAGCATAGCATCTGTTGTACTAATTTTAAAGGTAACCATAGGATCTGTTTTACCAAATCAAAAATCCAAGCATAGCATCTCTTTTACCAATTTTAAAGGCAACCATAAGATGGTTTTTTACCAAATCAAAATGGTTTTTTGGCACAGAACAGAAAAATTGATTTTTGTAAGTCTCCAACCAATAAGGGGTGACATTACAATATAGCTACAATGCCCAATATACCTCATACCTTTAAATCAGTCAGAGTAATGGTTGTTTGCATCATAAGTTCGCCAAAAAAACTTAAAATTGGACATGCAAAGAAGAATCAAAGACTAAAAATTAAGAGAAGGGAGATAGTACTCTTTCTGAAGCGTAGTGCCTTCTCGTCATCCTCTAAAGGCTCATAGAAGAAAATTTCAGTATCAGACATGTCCAATATCTGTTCTGAAGTAACGGATTCCTCCTCTTCCCCATCTTCTTCGACACAGCCCCCTTCATCTTCTGAGGGAAAATGGCCTCCCCCAAGGTACTTTTTCCGATACCACCATGTCGGATCTGTATCAGATGTACCAGATCCGTTGTCACCAGAGTCGTATTTAGGGATCACAGGTTTGAGAGAATTTGGGGTAGGCAAACGAGAAAGCCTTTCTTCGTCACTATCGCTTAATAGCTTGAAGCTGGGCATCGTAGAGTCACGAATCACCATTGGTGGTGATTCAATTTCTCAAGAAGAAGGGAAGATAGATCGGAACAGAGGAGGAGAGGAGAGGGGGTACAGTGCGGCGATGGGGAAGTGGAATGGGCAGGAGAGAGACAGTGGAATTATTAGGGTAGGATTGGGGTGGGGTGGGTAGTATTTAGGTTAAAGCGCATAAATCTCCGGTTTTGGGAAAAGAGAACTTCTTTTAGGGACGAAGAAAAAACGAAAGTGGAACTTTATTTTGGGACGGAGGGAGTATTTCTTTAAAATAAATACTGCATCAATAAATTAAGGTGTGATGTAACCACAATAACATTTTAAAAATTTAACATTTTAAAATTTATGCTAGTTTTAAATTCTAATTAATTCTTTTTGAGAAAGTAGATTTTTTTGTACGAAAATTGACAATACTTTTTTATGTTAAAGATATCGATTAAGATGACATGATTATGAATATAATAATAATAGTAATAATACATCATTACAACAATTAGAATGAGAATGATATAAAATATAAACTTAAATAAATTTTTTATACTTTTTTTAGATTTTCAAATTTTTTCCTATTTTTCCAGTTCTATCTAATTTATTTCAGTTCCTTCCAATTTTTAACAGTTTCTTCTCATTCTTCCAGTTACTTCTAGTTTCTTCCAACATC